TATAGATATTTTATTAGCAACTCAGTATCACACAACAAATATTAGGGTGAAGCTATTTCAATGGCAACTAAATCTAAAATATGTCAATATGTTAGTTTTTGAAGATAGGAAATCTCTACAATCCTTTTGTCATGAATTCTCATAAACTATTTTCTTCTTGAAAAAATTTCAATGACATTTTTTTATCCCCAAGAGAATCTCTATAGGTGATTTTTCATGGAATGCCATAAGTTGTCAGTTGAAAAATCAATAATTACAACTTTTGGGCCTTTATTTTGAGCTTGATGAGATAGCACAAGGAGAAAGATAAAAGAAAAAGAAAAAAAGAAAAGTGATTGAAAAAAGAAAAGTAATAAATCTTTTTATACTGGTGTAAGTAAAAAAACTTACGCCCAATTTGAACCTTTCATTTAACTTAAATCTAACGGCTAATAAAGTAATAAATTATAGCCCGTTAAATTTAAGTTAAATGAAAGGCTCAAATTAGGTGTAAAATTTTTTAGATTTATACTAGTGTAAAAAGATCTTTTCCCTATATATATATATATATATATATATATTAATAACAAAGAAGAAGAAAAATATACAGAAAAATATCGTTTGTGCTTCTATAGTGGATTCAGTAAGACATATGTCATTTTTCAATTGTAATGACAATGTAAGTTACACACTATTGTGACAAAGTTTTAAACGAACACTCCTAAATATTTTTTCAATTATTTGTCATTAAATTTATACATTTTACAATTTTGTATGTATCTAACTTTTTATGATCTTGCAAATTATGCTTGTCAGAATGTGACTATTAAGTCATTGTACTTCCTAATCTCCCAATAATATTTATTCTTCCTTAAATTAGTTTGAACAAGTCATTCATAATTTATGTCACAACTAACGCATTTATTAAACACTTTGTAATCCAGTCTTTTTGATATATTATATTGCTTAATTGTTCATATAACAACTTTTCTATCACTAAATTGTATTCCATCATATAACTCTCTATTTGTACCAAAATGACCTATGAAACATGAAGATAAACTAATTAAAATCACAAAAATTCAAGTTGCAACAATAATATTATAACCCTAACATACCAATTTGTATACTTTGAAAACTTAGATACTTCAACATTTAAAACGATGGCTCCCTAAATAAATGTTAACTAATTGTCATGTTTGACAAATAGAAGTGCTCATCATTTGCACTATCTTCATTGCTTTCATATTTTCTTTCAAAGTCTTTGTGATCACTTTTACTAATATTTTTTCTCATTCTTCTTCATTGTCTGAAACAGTACTATACTCGTATTCTTCCTTCTCGTCATCAACTTGCTCATAAACACTAACAAAAACTTCTTCAAATATAATGTACAACTCAATGGCATATGTTTGAGAAATGATGTTATTGATGTATTTAAAACATTTGTTAAGAGTCATCTTCATTACTTATTAGAATTGTTTGATATTACATGAAACCACTAAAATTTAAGATTAGACACCTATATGTTATTTTTTTTTACTATTACTATTTTTGTATTTTCAACTTCAATGATCTGACAAATATCACTTTTTAATTCTTCAAATGATATATTATACAAAATATACAAATATGTTAATTTTTCACATATAAACATCACACTTTTACCTGTATTTATAAAAATATTATCATTAAAACATACTATTATAAACCATTTTGTACTTCCAATAGTTACAAATTAGAATAAAGTGAGTTTATATAGTTCAAGATTCAAAAATTGTCAATAACATATATTTTTTTAAAATCTAAAACTTGGCAATGACAAATTTTAGAGTGTAAAAAAAATAATAAAACTTGCTAAAAATAATTTTTAGAATACAAAAAACATTTCTACAAGCTTAAAATTACCGGTGATAACTTTTGCATTTAACTAAAATTATGACAATAAAAAATGTCATTAGCGATTTTATAAAAATTCTATATTCGTGTATTTCACTTCAAATTTTTATATTTTGGTAATTATACGAAAACTTTTCTAATATAAAAAAATCAGCCCCTTTGTGAAAGGGATGGGTCACAGTAACAGAACCCTTCGTTTATGTTTTTGCTTTTTTTACTTACAAAACATTCATGGGTATTGAGGTCATGGTATGTTCATCTAGTTTTGCTGATGAGATTTTGGATGCTTCCTGTTGATGTTATTAGAAGATCTTTTTGTTTCTTTTGGATATTGCCTTAGCCTATATATCTATACAATCCTAAAACAACAACATCAATTCATTTCCAACAACAATAATAATATTATTGATTTTTGCCATAAAGTGCTTAAATCAAGTTAAAGCCCTATAACTTGAATTCATTATATTATTTAGAGCACTTGGCAGGGAGAGGTATGAGTAGTAATACATATAAAGCAAAATTGTATAATATCTAGTATAATTTTTTTTATCACATCATTTATTTTATTCATTAGTTTTTCTATTTTTTAAATTATTATAAAAATTTATTATAAGAATATCATAGAGTGTTGAAAGTATAAAATCAAAATCCAAACTGCTAGTAAAAACAGTAATAACCAGCGACTAATATTACCTAAATACCATAATTTCAAAGTTATGAGCTTTTAAAACCTACATTAGCATGGTTAGCTCTTCTAATTCTAAATAGAAAATTGGGGGAAATGAGAGAGTGATAAGAGGTGGGCACAAAGGGCCAGGAGACAAGACACCAGGCATGTATCCTTCTCGTCACTATCATCATAATTTCACTGCCAATTACCCATTACAATTACTATCTGTACTGATATGATGACATTTATCATTGCCCTCATTTAATTCCATCTCCCCATATTGTCCCATTTAGTTTATTCATTCCGGTCAATTTTTTTGTAATAGTTACTTCATTAAAATTTTTAAAAATAATAATTATATATAATACATTTATAGTATTTTACACATTATTTTAATATTAAATAATAATATTAATAATTTATATATTAAGTAAAAGAAATGCATATATGCAATTTTAAAATCATTAATTATTAAAACAATTATATTTTTGTTTATTATGATATTTGTATTAATAAATACTTATTCATTATTTATATAAATAAATTTGTTTATTTATTTAATGTAAACTCATTAATTTAACTATTTAATAATATTATATTTCAATATAATATAATTTTATGATATATATTCAAATGAAATATATTTTCTCTTATAATAATAATAACAATGAAATAAAGAAAATAAAGAAGCAATTTATATATGGTTTAAGAAAAAATTGAAAGACAACGTAGTTTTATCACACTTCTTAATATTATTTAATATTATTAACCCATTAATTTTATGATATTTTATAATTTTTAATAAAAATTTATAATAATTTTTTATTTTATTTATAAAAAATAATTATTAGTATTTATTTTTTATAAAAAAGATTTAATTCTAAATGCATTAATTGTAAAAAAATTTATATTTTTATTTATTGTAAGATTTGTATTTACTATTTTTTTAACTTGTGTTCAAGGGTATAAAATAAAAAAAAAACAAATTAAAATACCAATATATTACATAATTCAATACATTAATAATATTGAGTGTTACAATTTTTTTATTAAAATTTTTAAATTTCTTAACATGTATTATAGGAAAAAAAAATCATTGTGTTAATAGGCACTTATTCATTACATGTACAAATGAATATTAATATATAATTTACTAATTTAATCATTTAATACCGTGGACATTTTCTGAAATGTAATATAACTTTTTAACATATAATTATTTTCTATTAGTCTTAATGAAGAGTAATACATATATTCCTAATGTGTTTTCTTTAATGAAGTGTTTGGTGGGATTCTAAATTTCTCAAAAATCTTGAGTTGAGAATAATAAATTTTTAGTACGTATATTTTAAAAATGTTTTTCAATTTTTTTAAATTATATTTTTCAAAAAACATTTCTATGACATGGGTGGGTGAGAATCTAAAATTCATATAAAAGTAGAAACATTCTTATAACATTAAAACAAAATCCTTCAATGTTCTTAAATATAAACTTAATTTAATTATAATAATTTTTATTTTATTATTGTCTATTCATAACTTTTATTATTAACTCGTCATTGTAATTGAAAATTATTTAAATTTATTATAATTAAAATTTTGTAACCTATAACTAATATTAATCAACTTAAATATTAATGTCATTTAATACCGTATTATATATATAATTTTATATTTTCAGCCACATTCTCATATTATAATAGGTTTATCATATAATGTATTTAATTATTAGTGTAAATAAAAATTATTAATTAACATATAAAGTAATTTTGTTTTGAAAAAGGCGTTAATATTTTTTAAATTATTTAAATGAAATACAATATCAATTTTTTTTTAAAAAAAACATAATTCTTAGAAACTAAAAACTGTTTATACATCAATCAATAATTTTTTTATGCTTTAACAGTGTCAAAAATGGACAAATTCTACTCTTGTGAGTGATGGCTCTTTGCTGACAATTTTAGTTTCCATTATTAGGTTTGGTGTCTCTTTTTCTTGATCTTGTAATAATTTTTTTATTGTATTTTTTTAAACACACCTTAAAAAAATGCTAATAACATATTTTTTAACGTATTTATTTTTATTGACTAAAATTTATTAAAAACAGTAAAATTCATATAATTTTCTTTTTCACTTCTAATTTAACATATACGGATCGATACCATTCTAACAAAACTTTATTCATTTCTTTCTCTCTGTTTCCTTATTCTTTTTCTCATCCAAGTATCCACTCATCAAAATTATAACCATAAAAATGTGGTTTTTAAATCATTAATATTTTCAGAAAGCTTTCATGCACAAGATTTTTTTTTTCTCCATTTTAATTTTTCACACGTGTTGGTTTATAAATGTGTGTTAGACTCCGATATCTGTGCCATGGGAAGGCGCGTGCTAGTTTAGAGATCCCCATTGATTTCTCTCTCACTCTCTTTCTCCGCAGAAGCAGAACCAGAAGGAAGCTCATGCTTGCGGTGAGATCCACAACCACAACCACAACAGAAACATTGTTGCATTGGATTCATTGAACCAAATTAAATGCGGTCCTTCTAATTACTGGTATGCTTGAACCTAAAGTAAATGCCACCTCGTAATAGATCCGTGCTTTGCATTTACTTTCTTTCAATCATCGTTTATTAATTGCCACTATTATTCGTCTTCTAATAAATGCATTTTCTTCTGTTCCCTCTCCTCGTTCAACAGTCACTGCACTCAGACTCGAATCAAATGTCAGGTATGCAACTCAACTCAAATTACTGCGTTTTTATTTAATTTGATTTTATTCTTGAACGGGTTTTTTTGTGGGGTGAAAGGGGTGGAAGAAGGGGTTATTGAAGTCGAGAACTCTGAAGACGAGAGAAGAAGGTCCAGAATTGGAAGCTTAAAAAAGAAGGCGATAAATGCGTCTTCCAGATTCACGCATTCGCTTAAGAAAAGAGGGAAGAGGAAAATAGACTTCAGAGTTCCCATTGAGGATGTGAGAGATGCAAAAGAGGAATCAGCGGTGCAAGAATTGCGTCAGAGACTCCTTCAAAGAGGCTCCATGCCTCCCAGGCATGATGATTATCATGCATTGCTAAGGTTTTTTCTTTTCTCTTCTTCGTTTTGTTTTTTTATTTACCGCTTTTTATTTTTAATATTTTATTCTATTTTTGGTTCTGTTCTCACTCGTTCAATGAATGGGCTTTTTTTGTTGCTAGGTTTCTTAAAGCAAGGGACTTTAACGTTGAGAAGACAATTCAGATGTGGGAAGATATGCTTATTTGGAGAAGAGAGTATAGCACCGACACTATCCTTCAGGTAATGCTGGTAATTCCTGAATGAATTCAGCATCTTTGAAACATGTTTAATTGGGTGCTTCGGTGTGTGGTGGATTAGTTCCGTGCTCATTTTTTTCGTTGGTCGGGTGGGTTAAATATTTATTGGTTACCAGCTATATTGGACGGACTCCACAAAAATTGTCAGAACCAACCACTAATAATTGTTTCACTCTTTGGGTTCAACCTACCAAAAATGATTTTTACAAACCCTTCTTACGTGGGATCCGGATTCAGTGCAGCCCACGCCAAAGCATTTAGGCAAAATTTTGCATTTTGGCTTAAGTGAAAATACAAAATAATAGTTTTTTATTTTTCAGCTTAGTGAAATGATTTTCAGAAGCAGAATGAAAGGTTTTGATTAACTCAACAACAGTGTTAATAATTTTTGTTAAAATACAGTTAAGAAATTTAAATAAAAAAGTTTTCACGAAAAATGGTAACATTTTAATACAATTTTATCCTAATTTTTAATAGTTGTTTACTTATTACTTCTTTAATAGTAATTCAGTACTATCACGGCAAGCTGACACCCCAACTTAAATTATATATCTTGAAACGGCAACACTTCTCCATCGGTGAACTTAAATTGTCATCTGGTCACATCAACATTATTCGAAGCGTTTGACTTTTTGCACGTAATTAGATGATAATAATGTACAGAGGTTTTCTAGTGAAAGGGTATCCAAATTTAACTCAATATTCAGTATTCAATTATTTGATTTGTCACAATTGCATCCATTGAATTCATATAGATATTTGTTAATCTTTAAACAGATTCATACCATTGTGTGATGTTTTTAAAGTATTTTAGAATTAGCATGCGTTCTGGGCTTAAGGAATAATAATACACTTGAGGCCCATTGTGATATTTGAAGGATTTTGAATTTGAAGAGCTGGAAGAAGTATTGCAGTATTACCCTCAAGGGTATCATGGAGTTGATAAGGAAGGTAGGCCAGTTTACATTGAGAGGCTTGGGAAAGCTCATCCCAGCCGCTTGATGCGCATCACCACAATAGAACGATATCTAAAATACCATGTCCAGGAGTTTGAAAGGGCTTTGCAGGAGAAATTTCCGGCATGTTCCATTGCAGCAAAGAGACGGATTTCTTCAACCACGACAATATTGGATGTACAGGGGTTGGTACGTCATATTACACTAAAGTTTTTTTTTTTTCTTCTGAAATTTTGTGCCTCGTCAATAAAATATGGTGTAATCCTTATAGTTTGTACTGGTGGGCCTCATCAACTTTATTTTTTTAACTCCCATCTATTAAGGTTGTTGTTGATCAGATATTTCTTTCAGGATCTCCCTTGTTTTTTAGTACATTTTTCTGCTGAAATTTTAACTGGCACATGATGATGTGTGTGATGCAGGGAATAAAAAATTTCTCACCTACTGCTGCAAATCTCTTGTCTGCCATCACAAAAATAGATAACAATTACTATCCTGAGGTTTTTAGACTATCCCTTCCAAAGTAACTTGTTTTCCTGTCGTCTTCCTGTATGCGTAGAATATGATCAACATACATGTATATGCAGACATTACATCGAATGTATATCATCAATGCTGGTCCTGGCTTTAAGAAGATGCTTTGGCCTGCTGCACAGAAGTTTCTTGATGTCAGAACTATTGCAAAAATCCAGGTAAAGGATATAACTCTTGCTGGTAGTATTTCATATGCATTTTTCCTGAAGTTCCTACTGATATTACATACTTTTCAATATTCCCAGGTTCTTGAACCCAAGTCTTTATGTAAATTACTGGATATCATTGACTCTAGGTATGCATCTATGACTTGATAATTCCGCCACATAATTTCTGTTCAAATTTAATGTTTAATTTGTCATTTAACTCGTTTTTAAATGCATCTATACAGTCAGCTGCCAGACTTTTTGGGTGGCTCATGTACATGTCCAGGAGAAGGTGGATGTCTCAGGTCTAGCATAGGTCCATGGAATGTTCCTGATATCATGAAGGTAATGCTGCTTTGCTATCTCTCTCTGTCCTTTCTGTCAGCATTTGTAAATGTTGTCATTAGAATTACTTTATTGAAATAGTATTGGATACTAATTTAGGTGTTCCGATTTTAGCTGGTTCATAATGTGGAGGCAACTTTTGTGAGACAAATCACCAGAATGTCCAATGAACAGCAGAATTTAGACTCTTTTTGGATACACCCACAGAAGGCAAGTCTCAATCTTCTCGACAGTGGATGGTTGGAAATTCACCAATATGCATTTGACTTCCTTTTCTTATCTCCCAGGGACATTGCATGGATACATCAGCAGAATCTGGGTCAGATGTTGATGATTCTTTCTCGCCCATTGAACAAAGTAGATTCACTTATCCACGTTTAGCCCCAGTTCATGAGGAAGTTAGTTCTGAAACCTTTGAATGTGATTAACTTTAGAAATCCTTTAGTTCTGAAACCTTTGAATGTGATTCAATTTAGAATCCTTGCCATTACGATGTACATAATGCTTTCACACTGTGTGCCATGAGCCTGTAATCATTCAAAAATCTGTCTTTTCTGCAGGTCAGAGTATCAGATAACTACTACAGTTGTGATGATAGTGCTTTTGTGTCTGAGAAAGTGCTCAAAAGTGATGAATTTCACATTACTCAGGAACAGTCACTACAAAATTGTGATGTGAACATTGCTTCTATGGAAAATTTGGAAGGTACTGTTAATTGTGAAGTTATTGAAGCATTGGTGTGTTCCTCTTGTATATGCTATGTGGAATCGAAGTTGAACATATGTCTTGTTATATAAAATTTGAATTTGGAAGTTAAAAACTCACCATAGTTGTTTTCATGTTGGGTGTAACTGGTATGACTAGTTAAGTAGTATATTAGTATTTTCCTTATCTTATGAATTTTTACACAAATTTTCATCTTTTATACAGGCAATTCAGTCAGCAATTGGTTCAGTTTTGTTATGGAAAAAGTGAAGAAAACAAGTTTCTTATGTATGTCAACCGCGCTAATATATTTTTTGGAAAGACTAGTAATGTTCTTCAGCAGTTTAAGATTAGAATTGAGAACACAGAACAATATCTACCCATCTATGGCCATGCAACACACCAATAACCAGACAGTAGCTGGTGAAACACTTTCTGAGCGGGATCATATTCTTCCATGTATACAACAACGTCTTCAGAGACTAGAAAATGCATTTGAGGAACTTAGCCACAAACCTGGTGGTATACCTTTGGAGAAGGAGGAAATGCTTATGAATTCCTTGGATAGGATTAAATCTATTGAGTTTGACCTTGAAAAGACCAAGAGGGTATTTCTTTATGCTTTCTTTAGTAATCTGTAACTGTTGATTGTTTTAATATGATGTTTATAATTTGTCATTAACGTAGGTGCTAAATGCTACGGTGAAGAAGCAGCTTGAGATTGCAGAGATGCTGAAGAATTTGCGGGCATCGAAGCATCGAGTAAGTTGCTTCTTCTGTAATATTTTATATATTCAAATGTTTTTTATATGCTGTCCTTTGTTGCCAATCTTTACCAATCCCATCCTCACTCTAAATTAGATAGTTACAACTAACATTAAGGGCTCACTTGGTGAACATGACAAGAGAATAAGATAGGATAATTTTTTCTCTCTGTTTTTTCTTTTTTTTTTCTTTTGTTTTTGTTTAGCCAACATGATTAAATAAGTCTATATCCTATAGGCTTATCTTTCTCTGTAATGTAAATTTTATCTTGTGAGAAGGGAGGACTGGGTTGAAAGTAGACAGAATGAGATAACATAATCATAATGTATGATATGTATCTAGTTTGTTATTTTATCACATAACAAATGTAAAATAAGATAAACCTCGATTTTAGTTTTATCCTATCATGTTCTTACCCAACTCTTATATCCTATCATCGTCTATTCTATTAAGTTCACCAAACAGGTCTTAAAACTTTTATGACTGGCAAATGATTTGATTATGTTAGTGATGGTTTCTTATTTGCTAAAACACAATGGTGTTGTTTGGTTCATATAGCCAACTCCACCTAATGGAGAAAGGCTATTATTATTGAATATTATCAAACTATTCTATGAATTACTGGTATATATAAACGTTGTGATAAGCTTGAAGACTAGTAATAGGTAGAGCGTTAGGACTTTTCCCTTTTTATTTTTTAACAATACATCAACATCATTAGATGGGGAGTAAGCATGAACAGAATTTAGTGTTTATTTGGTAGTTATTACCAGAATTTCAATTAAAATCTGTCATATTTATATATAAAAGGAATCATGAAAATCTGTTTTATTTCCATAATCTTCCCATTGTTTCCTTCCTTTTGTTCTCGTCATTTTGGGGTACCCATGATATCAACGAGATTTTGAATTTGACCTACAAACTACTGCTCTAACCACTAGGCCACTCCTAGTGGCTAGTTTCATGAGTTTAGAAATTCTATGCACTTCTATTCCTACACAATAACCTAGATGGTGGTCACTGTCAGCATCACTTTCTTTTTCAGCCGGAATTTTGACATTACAAACTACAGTAACGTCAGCAGAGAATAAATTAATTCCTTTAAAAGTGATTATGCTTGAGACCCCCGCGGTGTGGGGCTTGGAGAGGTTAGATGTACAGTTGTACACGGCCTTATCCTCATAAGCAGAGAGATTGTTTTTAGGATTAAACTTGTGATACCGATGTCCATGTCACGAGGGTATCATACTGTTGCGTTTGTCCTCAGCCTAATGCTTCCTTCTTCATCTCAAGTTAATTAAGCTTGTCTAAATTCAACATTAACATTACATACTGTTTTTTGGTCAAAAGATTACATGCTTTTGTCATATTACACAACTGTAGACAATTCCAATGGAATAGCCACCTCACGAGTACTGATAAAACGTCAGTTCTGTCTGTAATTTTTTCTTCTTCCCTTTTTGTGTGTTTGACTAAATAGCAATTATTCTTGCAGCAAAGCAAGCTGTTCTGTTGAAAGATTGAAGTTTCAGCGACAAGCAGGAGTTGTTAGTACCTAAGAAGATTACTTTAACAGATAGAAGAATTAGGGCAAGGTAACAAATTGGACTCAGAAGATTGAAGCTCGAATTACACAATTCAAGTTTCTGTAGCACATCCACAGAGAGAAATGAGGATGGGATAGCCGACTGTTATATATATATATACAGTGTAGTTTTTGGACCAAATCTCGTCTTATTTTCATAGTATATATAGCTGACAAAATTTGTAGCATGGCATGGAAGAGATGCTCTTCTTTTCAGTGGTAGACACAGTAGGGAGGACATTATCAATTTAACCCGCCAACACTGAACTAAAGTAAAGTCTTTTAGGAAGGTGTTTTTTTTTTTTTTTAAAGAAACCCAACAATCATCATGTGACATGACTAAATGTGGAAAAAAATATTGGTTAAAAATGCTATGTTTAAGCTTAAATAAATTCTATAGGACATACAAATGTTGATAATGTGCTAGTAATGTTTGCATTAGATATATGATCCATTTATGCATGGCAAAATGGACTTGACTTAACAAGTTGACTCGTTTAACCATTGTTCATCACTCCAGCTCACGAAATGGCGGGCTGGAATGAGCTAACATTTTGGTATCGTTTGTTTTTGAAAAATTAAAATATACTTAATTAGTTACTACTAATTCAAATTTAGTTTAAATGTTTTAATAAATTTTATAAGCTTATTTATATTATTACTAGTTACCCATTTGTCAACTTTGCAATTTTGTTTTGTAATCTATGGCGAACTTGCTTGTCAGCCTTGTTGACTATGTTCTTGGCTCTACGGAAACGGGTACGAGGATAAGGTTATGGTTTTTATGTCGGCTTTGAACGCTCCTTACAATTCGTGTCCTTTTAACTTTACTACTAAACAATCAACCAAGTGACAACCATGCCTATGTAAGCTTTAGGGTTTAGGATTTAGGATTTAAGCTTTACCATTAGGCTACAATTATTGGGGAGGGGGGGGGGTCACTATTTTATGGAGCATTATTATGTCTCTTTTTTTATGGACTTTAAACATTATATTCTTTTAAGTTTTAGTAGATAAAACATACTCATTTTCTTTAAAAAAAAATTCTCAATTTTTTTCACTTTTTAATCTATTTTTTACTAATAATTTTTATATTTTTTAAAATAATGAAATTGAATCAAACTAAACAAAAAGTTTTAAATTAGTTTGAAATGTAATCTTTTACTTAACTCTAAATCAACTTATTATAACTACATTTGTAATCTTTTCTAGCCTAAAATAACTTTTTTAGGCTTTGTTTGAATGTTTGAAGGAAAAGAAAAGAAAGGATTTGAATGGAGAAGGTCTTTTGTTTGGATGTTTAATATTAAGAAAGCATGATATGGGTTTAACCATGTAAATAACATTATTATCTTTTATATCTTTTATTTATAGTTTTTTTATTTTTATTTTTTAAAAAATACAAAAATTAAATATTTTCTCTCTCTAAAAATTAATATTTTTAAAATTAATGTTTTAAATTAATATTTTTATTTTTATAATTTTCTATAAAAATTCTCTTTAAAAACTAACATATTTAAAAAAAAAAAAAGAATCATAATCATTAAAGAGCACAAGAGAGTGGAATAGAGAAAAATTCCTTAGAATGGAGGAACTTAAAAAACTAACATTAGGAGAGTTTTGGAGGTTTAGAAAAATCTCCTAATCCTTCATCTCTTAATTAATTAACTTTCAAACAAGAGTTAAACTCCACTAACCCTTCTCTTCTCCTTTCCTCCTCTCTTAAACATGAAATCCAAACAAGCCTTAGATGCCAAGTACTTAGGGTCAAGGCAATGAACATAACAATAATGGACTTTTTGACCAATTTGGAGCAAATTTTGAAACAATTTACTGAAAAAATAAGTTATTGGTTTAGGGTGATTTATATCACATAGTAGGGTTGGATATTAGGCTCTCATCCTACATGGAAAAAGGCTCAAAATGAGCAAGTTCACTTTGCCTCACTTATAAAAGTAGAGATAAGCTTATAGGATTAAAAGAGAGAGGTCATTAGGGTGAGTGACTGAATATCATTGTGAGGGAAGAGATAAAGTTATTTTTGCATAAACTCAAGAATTCATTCATCATTGAATTGGGTAGAAAATTTGACAACAATTTCACGACATGTGGTTCTTCGTTTTGAATAGTTGGATAATTGAAACAAGGTATGTGGTGTGATTAACAATGTTTGCACATTAGCTCTATTTTCTGAGTATTTTCATCTTCTTGGTTCCTATTTTGTAAGCTTTGTTGTTGGGGTTTGATAGGCTGGTTTTAAGCACGATTTGTGCACTTATTTGTGGCTCTCTTCTACCCTTGTTTAATCATAGTAAAACTATTTCTTTGGTCTGAATGACTCGTGGTTTATACCTTTCACATTAAGAGAGTTATTCATGTTAAACAACTTTGTGTCTACTTTCTATTTTATTGTTTTTACTTGTTGCAATATTTTTTGTTACTCTTTGTTTGATTCCACTGCATTATTCATTATTACATTTATATTGTGTTGGTGTCCCCATCAGAGCTTTTTGGTTGAAGGGGCAATGTATTTGTTTGAATGATGGAAGTAAATACAAATAGGATTGTTAGTTTGAATTACACTAATTATCACTTGTGGAAGGGAAAAATAAAAAACTTGCTATTTGTAAAGGAAATGTATCTTCTTGTTTTTGCTACTTAGAAATCGGATTCTATGTCTGATGAAGAATAGAACTTTGAGCATCAATAAATGTGCAATTTCATTTGACTTTTGTGAATAATAATACTTATAACCATATTGCGAGTGAGACACATGCTAGGATTTTGTGGAAGAAGATTGAATCTTTGTATGCCTCTAAGTCTACAAACAATAAGTTGTATTTGCTAACTTCCATTATGAGTTTAAAGTACAAAGAAGAAGCTTCTATTTCAGATCACTTGAATAAATTTCAAAGGCTACTGATTAGATGTCAGGAATGGGCATTAAGTTTGATGATGAGATTTTAGAACTTTTGTTGAATTCTCTACCTTAGTAGGAGACATTTAAGTTCTATGTTACAAACTCATCTCTTAATAGTTTTGTCTCTTTGTTAATGGTAAAATGTAGTGTTCTTAATGAGGAGATGAGAAAGAAGGAACATAGTTCTTCATCTCAACTAGGGTGCTTGTCAATAAATATAGGGGATAAGTCAGAAAAAATAATCAAAAGGTGGTAGAGATAAGAGCAGAAGTAAGTCTAGATACAAGAATGTGGAGTGTCATTATTGTCACATGTAACACCATCTTTTCTTAATTGCTTTATTTGTTATTAACATTATTGGATTCTGTTTTAAATTAGAATAGTGTGAATGTTAGTAGCTGTAGAGAGTCTCAGTCAAGCAAGACTGAGTTTTCTAAACCAGACGTTCCAGATCATTCTCACTCAAGCAAGCTGAGTCTCGCCCGGCCCAGGTGAGAAGGAACAATGTCACCCTAACTGTTCTCTCGCCCAGGCAAGATAGTTCTCGCCTAGTTTAGAAGACATAGAGTGAATGAAGAGCTCTTTGGATCAATTCTCACTCAAGCGAGAATACCTTTTGCTTAGGTGAGAGTATAAAAAAAAATTGGAGAAAAACCATTATCTGATGTTTTTGCTCAGGCGGGAGAGGTCTTGCCCAGGTAAGAGTTGATCTTGCTCAAGAGAGAGTCCGCTTGCTTATGTGAGAATTGCGAGTTTTGAGGGGTACATAAGGGATTTTCATTCTAAAACTTACAATACAATCCAAGTCACCTTTTCTTTCACTTTCTTTCTTATCTCTCATCTTCCTTTCTCATAGAACCTCCCATAAACCCTGAGCTTTCTTTCACTATTAGAAACACACTATTTACAGATGAAAATTCCTGATAGATTTTATTTGTCTATATTATAGACGAATTATCTAATTTTATTTTAAATTTTTTAGAGAAATTCATTTGTAATTTTGTCTATAATATAGATGGATAAAATCCGTTTGTAACTTCTGTCTATATTTGGGCTGCCATTTAACATGAAGCATTATAGATAGAAATTTCTGTCAGTAATTTGAAAATTAGATGGAAATTTGGAGTGGGAGTTACAGACTGAAAAATCTGTTGGTAAATGTGACCATTTTTGACTGACTTTTCATCTAGCAATTTACAGATGGATTTTTTTGTATGCAATTGTCTTTGGCGGATTTACAGACGGATAAAAATCCATGTATAATTGAACTTGTAAAATAAACCATTTCATTAAACTATTTACAGACAGATTTTCTCGTCTGTGATGTGAAAAACACATCAAAACTGCGCCTCCTCCTTTTTCCTCAGTTTGCATAATTTTGTGAGTGATCGAAGCATCCATTTGGAAAATAATTTGCATCATTGTGTTCCTGGTACAATACTCTAACTTTTAATTGGTTTAGTTTTTTAATTTTTGATGTATAATAGAGACTTAAAATTTCTAAGATAGAGTTGTAGGACTGGAGATTGTATGACTAGGGGGAAAGGGTGTATAGGTCTTTCCTCGAACCTGATTATTTATGCATTGATTAATATATTGTTATATAATATATTAGTTATGTGTGGTGAAAATTTTGATTTTTGTATTAGGTGTAAACAAACGTAAGGAAATATTCATATATTAGGGGAGATTCTGCCGAAATTTACATTAAAAATTTGTGTAATGTAAAATAGAAGGTTGATACAACATTATATATTTGTATTAGGTTTATATAGTTCTTGATCCAAATGTTTCTTTGAAATCGTCAGGGGATGTATGATAGGTTGCACCCACGTTAGGAGGGAATAAAACCTGAATTCTTTGAGGGTGTAAAGAAATTCATACATGTTTGTTGTAATTCGTAGCAATTCATCATCAACCAAAAAGTTACGTTTCCATGTTCTAAGTGCAAGTTGATAAATCCACATTTTACTAGTATTTTAGCTTAGTTTTTAGTAGTAAATAAGTAGTTAAATAATTAATAAAACTGAAAATACCATAAAATTGCATTTATGTTCAAAGTTTTTTTTAAATAGTTTAGAATTTTAGATTTGATCTCAATTCTTATATAAGTATGCTAAAAAGATTAAATTTGTGCAGAAATCTGAGCTGGAGGTTTTGAAGCGGGAATTAAATGAAGAAAGTGGAAGATTTGGACTTAAAAATTGAAGAATCAGTTGATATGTGCTAGAAGTTATCACTCTAGGCGCATAAAGTGACAACTCTGGAGGTTCTCAGCAAGAGTGGAGTTCAAAGGTCAGCATAAGACTTCTGACGACTCTGAGTAGTTCTTAGCTTTTCTTTGATAAGTTCAACTTTCTCCTTAGTTTCCTGCAGCA